GAAAGACAATATTTTGGACAATTCCAAATTTAAGAAAATTCAAAAATTTGAAACTTCTATTTTGAGAAAATCTTATTAAAAAATATGCCTTAATTAATATGTAATTGTATACATACTTTGAAACCAATCTTTCAAATGTTAGCCCAATTACATTTAAGTAAATATTAATTTTTATAATATAAGTTAATTTCTTAAAATACTACGTGGTTGTTATATAGCTCTATTAGTACTTATGTGTTATTACTATGATTTTATTTTCAATAATGTATATGTATGTATTATATGTTTGTGTTTAAATAACCATTTATAACGTGATTTTAAATAATGATACTGCTATTAGGAACCTTTATTTCTTGACTTTTTCTATTCTAAGAAATTCATAAATAATTATAGTCAATTATTTAAAAAAAAAAAAAAAGAGGAAGAAAATAGAGAGTTTAAAGGATAATATAAATTTTTTGAAACAAAAAATGTTATAAGAACACTTAGCATGTGGCGCTCACCATTCGACTACTCTCCAGTTGATCCCAGGTATGAAATAAATTCGTTTCATTCTTAATTTCTAGCATGGTAATGAGTCATATTTCTACATGAAATGTATAAGCACGTTCACCTCTCATAATATATTTGTCATTTTTACATCTTACTAGAATACCGTACATGCACTGAGAATAAAAATAATATTGATAATGCAAGATTAAACATAATTGAAATTATACTTGTCACGTGATTAGGATGACTAGGAATAACCCAACATACCTCCAACGTGCTGAAATGGCCATTGAGAACTACATAAACTATGAAGTAAGACGAGAGCGAACTTTTGTTGAACTTGTTAAAGATTTCCTTTATAAGTGGGAGCGAGCAAGATCATTCGGATATAATGAAGGGACAGTCTTCTCGATATACCACCTTATAAGCACTATGCGACCTCAATGGAGAGACGTGACTTACTTCATGAGGGATATGGATTATGAGTTATATTTGGAAAAAGATTGTGATAAGATTGATTTTAAATGATACTGTGAAAATATCATAATTCTATGGAATCACAGACAACAAGCACCAATGTTCAAACCCGAACCAGAGCTAGAGGAGGACCCGGAAGAGGACCTAGAGAAAGATATCGAACTAGAACCAAAAGATCATGAGCAAGAAATCCAACCACAAAATTTTGTTGATTTGGTTGCAGATTTCGAGTCAGAGTCATGCATTACTTCGGATGATGAGATGCCATAAAAGAAGATTTTTTTTAGGACTCACAGAGATTAGAACTAAGTGTTATTTATTTACTTAGGAAAAGTTTAATTGTTTAATTATTTATTTGATTTTGAAGGGCACATTACTATATGTAAGAATTCGGAAATTTATATTTTTAAAGTTTTTCGTTATTACAAAGATTATTAAAAAAATTAGGTTGTTTTATTAAATATTCCTAAATTAAAATTTTATTTGTGTTAAGAAAATGTCGAGACAACAACAAAATCAAGCTACGATCATCAGGAATTTGCTAAGGGCAGTACAAGACTTGGGTAGGCAACAAGCACAGGCTGATCCCCATGGTGTAAACACTAACAACATCAGCTCAATTGTGGAATAGTTCCGTCGCTACAAACCCCCAATATTCGATGGCAAGGCAGACCCATTAGCGGCCGAAGAATGGATAAGAGGAATGGACCGAATCTTCAAACATCTATCTTGCACTGATGCTCCAAAGGTGTTATGTGCAGAATTCATGTTGGTTAACGCTGCAGGCCACTGGTGGGAGTCACCATCTCGCACTAGAATAGAAGCACAACAACGTGCTCTGACGTGAACACAATTTAAGAACGAAGTGATGGGAAAATACTTTTCCCAAGTTCTGAGAGATCAAAAGGAGACAAAATTTCTTCAACTTTAACAGGGAAAAACGAAGCTTAAGGATTGTGAGAGAAAATTCGAACAACTATCGAGGTATGCACTACACCTAGTGGACACCGAAGCAAAGAAAGTAAGGAGGTTCGAACTGGGATTGCGTCCTGAGATTGGTGGAATACTGGCATCCCACCAATTCACCACCTATAGTCGAGTACTGTAGATTGCCCAAGCAATCTCACATAGGTTGGAAATAGACCAAACTCCCCAGCAAGGGGCCGAGTCTTCAGGAAAAAGGAAATGGAATGGGTCCAACGAAGAGAAAAGAGAAAGATCGAACAAGAAGGCTAATTTCGAACTAGGTCTTGGACAAGTTGTCCTACCTTGTCCAAAGTGCAAGAGAATGCATAGGGGTGAATGTCTGTATAGGAAGCATGTGTGCTATAGATGCGGTAAAACTGGGCATATTTTCAAAAACTGCAAAGAGGACCTTTTGAAGAAGAATGACGAGCCAGAAAGGAAGGGAAATGTCATAGTTTTTACTTTAGCCTAAGGACAGACACGGAAGATCCTAACACAGGTAAATTTCGAGGACGAAATTCTCCTAAGAAGGGTAGATTGTAGCAACAAAAAAAAATTTATAAAATTTTTATTTATTTATTTTGTTTACTATAGAATTCCTATTTTATCTAGGTCAAATAAATTAGATTTTGATAGAGAAATTATAAGTATATCAATATTGTACTCGATGGATAGCTCGTAATTAATTAGAAGTTTTTGACTCGAGAAAAAGTTATTTTGGATAAGAACGCATTAAGCTAGACCCAATTAAAAGAAAATAGGATAAATAGAATTTTATCCTATTTATAAATCAATTCATTTTCTCTCTCCAAAAACATGTAAAGTGGGAATTGAATTTTAATTTTTAGATTAATATTAATCTATTTCGAATTTGATGTGATAGCTAGCATCCTATTTGGATAGCTATATATTGTTATTATAAAATAATCCAAAACTAGGTTTTATCCAATAGGGTACATGTTTTCTAGTATAACTCAACAACTTTTTATTACTATAAATACCATACATGGATTCCATAATTCACACACCAAAAGTTATACACACGTAAGAGAAAAAGAGAGAGAGAGTGGTACTTTTGCGAACTAGAAGACAAGAAATTATTTTACAACTCTTAAATAAACGATGTAAGATACTTTAGGTGCATATGTTTTTGTTTCCTTATGCGTTTATATCCAATAAAAAATGCATCGATTGCCAGTAGACATTTTTTAAAGAGATATGAAATTCTACAAGATTATAAGAGGACCTAAGATGGGTGTGTCACTTGGTCACCGATATACTCCATAAGATCATATAGTATGAATTGTAATTTTTATTATTATATATTTGTATATGGAAACTGCACGTATCTTACTATGTGTTTTCGAATGCTCACTCTTACAAATTTTTACAGGTTAGTTCGGGTCGATTGAAACGGTGTGGAATGGTGATGCGGGCTGCTAAGTAGATCAAATGAAAAGAAAAAGAAATAAGTTTGTCATCTTTATATTTACCAATTAGTTTAATTTTGTTTCAAACGTGTTATTTGAATTAGCGAGAAGGTTATGTTATGTCTAGATACAATTTTTATGTTTTAAATTTTGATTATTAAATGTTGCAGTTATTTGTTTAATAAATAATTTTATTTTTATAGTTCTGCACTTAAAATAAAAAAAAATTAGTTTTTCGTAACGTCCTAGAGTTTATAGAAAATTGGGACGTCACAAATATACCATAATTTTTAGAAACTGTCTCAATTGAATACATCAATATCTTTAAAGAGTCTCAAAAATTCAATATTGAATATTTGTAAATTTTTAAAATATCAAAAGTCATTAAAAGTCTCAATTAAATAATACACGGTAATGGTTTGGGGCGAAATTTGCAACTTATCCAATTAAAAAATTATGAGATAATTCTAGCACACGCTCCAAATCTTTTGAATGTTAGCAGACTTTCCTCAAATCTTTAATTTGTTACAACTATCACCTCTAACATTTCCAAACGTTGTAGGTGAAGTCCTTCTGGACGTTGACCAAAAATTTAACTTTGATCACATTTCTAAAATTTTAGAAAGAGATAAAAGAGTCACTTTCTATTTTTTATCACATTAAATAAATTAATTAATTAAAAAATTAGAAATATGAAATAAAAAAGAAAAAAACACACACACACATGCGAACTGTCATCTTCTTCCTGTCTCCTCACCCATCTCTACCTCAAATCCAAAGTCCACCCGACCAATGCCACCACCACTTCCACCACCACCTCCATCTCATTATGGCCAATTAATTATGTAATTATGTGCACGAATAGTCAAATCAAAAACAACAATACATTCGAATGGTCAATTCAACTTGGCGACAAGGTTGAATTTGTTCCCATTGTAGTAAGGCCAGACACATTCACTTTCAGTTGATTTGAATTTGAACGAGTCTAATTTAAGTTTCATGTTTGGTCTTGTTTAGTCCCCACTTTTGATCGTAGATATTTAATTTAGATTTTGGAACCTTTACCTGAGCCCATGGACAATTTTCTGTGAACATCTCATTCATGAAGAAGGCCATGATAGATGGAGGAGGAGGAGGAAGAGCTGGGGTTTGGGTTAGAGATTTGGTCGTCGTTGTACGAGTAGGGAGAAAAGAAGGGGCGCTCAAGGAGGAAGATATGTGTGGACAGAAGGCCCTCGATCAAAGCTCCGTCGAAAACATCTTCGCCTAGGACTTTGGCGACGACGGCTGCTGTTGAGGAGGTGGCAAAAATGGGGTTTGGAAGGATTGGTTAGGGCTGGAGATGGGTCGGTTGGGGCCCCTTTTTAATTTAATGAATTAATTATGAAATTATTTAATTTTGTAATTAGAAAGTTACTATTTTCCCTTTATAGGAATATTAAAAATGCTGTCAACCTCTATTTTTTGTGTCAATTAACGGTAAATTGGATGTTTTCCATCATTTGGGACTTCATCTGCAATGTTTGAAAAGGTTAGAAGTGATGATAGCAATAAATCAAAGATTGGAGAAAAGTCTGCGAACATTTAAAAGGTTTGGGGGTTATCCCAAAAATTATTGTAGAGCTGTTTCTAAGAGGTGCAACGTTTACAAGAAGGCTCCATCCAATAGGATATAGCCATGTCAGTATATTGCTGATGTAGATTCCGACCAGCGCTCGACATCGATTGCTTTGACGTCGGTAAATCCGTAACCTCTTTCCGTGTTTGTTATTTTTAATGAAAATATCGACACTGACAAATTTGGGATCGCAGTGAAATTTTGCATAGTACTGCAGACCAACAAAAAATCACTCACTTTCTATCAATATTTCGACGCCTACAGCTATTTCAACATTCAATTAGAACTGAAAAAAAAAGGGTATTACTTTGATCTGCAAATTTTGAGCTCCGATCCCCCTTTTTGTCAGAATGGCGGCTCCTTTCTTTTCCGCACCTTTTCAACCCTTTGTCTATCAGGTACTTTATATATATGATTCCAGTTCAAATTCATTTTAGGGTTTTCGATTTTTTTATTTCCCTGTTCCATGATATGGTAATGATTCCCTGTGAATTTTGTGATTTTGGGCAAATGCATAATATAGATGATGGCTATATCACTAGTGTTGTAGCTTCTGCTTTAATTCTGTATGTGTGGATATGATTGTTGATTGTGTGCAGGATCAAATAGTGACATGCCATTTAAGCTTAGTAACGGCATTGTGATGGTAGTTAAGTGGTTGCATTTAGTATATGTGGGAAAGTGAACTTGATGGGAAGAAAACGAATATAATTATTGGTGGGAGAAAAATGTTCTGATCACTCACTACACGCAATAAATTGATTTAAGGGAGGTGCCGGAGATGAGCTCAAGTCATAAATTTGCAGCTGGTTAGAATCCATGTCTCATCCATGCACCTAAAGAAAGCATGGACGTGCTGGCATGACGACATGTTTAAGAGTTGGGACGACACGCATGTTTATTTATAGAATTACTCTATTTTCCTCTATTTTTGGTCATGACAACTTTCAGGGGAAGATAACTACCTTTTCCAATACATGTAAACTTTCTGCTTTGAACCCCAATCTTTAGAGCACAATTTCAATAGTACAATTCAGGGTGCTCTTGGAGAAATAGTGTCCATTTCAGAGACAGAAGTCTGTTACTTAGGATAAAATTTTTTAATGCCATTTCTTAAATAGCGCCTGAGTATTCCCCAACTCACACCTTAACTGTGAGCTTCATTAAGAGGGAAGAGCCTCGAAGCTCACACTTTTTTTTTTTGCTACTTAGTGTGGTCACGCCTCAGGCACTTCAAATGTACGCTCCATTTGTCTTTCCCCTTCTGAGTTCTAGACTTCTAGTATATGCAATTTGATCTGGGTTCTACCATATTGATTACAGATCATGCAAATAAGATACCAATAACAATATCCAATGTAGGAAATGAGGATTGATAATAGATCTGTCCCATAACAACGTTCACAGTCCTGGTTGTCCAATTTACATGTATCTGATTAAACGTTCCACTATATCTGTTTCCTAGTTTATCAGGGTCATCTTTGATAAATTTGGAAAAAAGAGCTACTCATTCCAATTCGTTAAAATGGGACTCTGGGAAGATTAGTATCGTCTAATATCCTTTTGAGTGGGGTAGCATGTCAAGCATGCTTATAGGTAATTAGAAACTGAGAGCATTGATGAGGCATAGACCAAATTCATTTCTTTCTTTGGTGTATCACAAGAGATTATTGCATAGTTTACATCAATCTTTTTTTTTTTTATCGGTAAATGTGAATATATTGATCAAAAATGTACCATGTACAAATACACCGGGCATACCCGGGCGAGACAATGTCCAAAATCAAATACAAGTACACCGGGCATACCCGGGCGAATCAATGTCCATAAACATAAACAACTACTCCGGGCATACCCGGGCAAACGTAAGGGGCAAATAATAATGAAATATTCCGGGCCTAGCCAGGAGATACAAACAAGTGGAGTACATAAAAACTCAATGTCCCAATGCTAAAGACTCGAAATGGATCAAGACATCCGGATACGAGGTGAACATAACCTTGTATACGTGTGTCTTGATCCGTCTTACAATGCTATCCAAGTCGGGATTGAGATCTTCAAAAATCTTCCTATTCCGTGTCAACCAAATATAGTAAACCGTGGTGGCAAGAGCAATCCTCTTCACTTTACTTTGCCATGTTGTTTCACGAGCCTCCTTTTTCAACCATTTTAAAGCACTAGCAATAGTTGACATAGATCTCCTAATGCCAAGCCTACTCCTAACATTCCCCCATAATGAAGAAGTGAAGGAACATTTAAAGAAAAGATGCTCACAAGTCTCCTCCGAATGAGCACAAAAAACACAATTCATATCGATGTCCAAGAAGTGCAACTTATCCTTAGTTAAGAGTTTAGATTGAACTCCTAACCAAAGCAAGAAAGAGTGCTTCGGGGTGATACACGGCTTCCATATTTCAGCTCCCCAAGTTTTGAAAGAACCTTTAGGCCTGAAGAAGTCATAAGCAATTTTTGTACTGAATTCTATGACCAGATGTCTTTTCTTTTCTGGACTGGGCATCTTGCATTTTTGTGTTCATTTGGGAGTTATATGAGGAGATGCTTTGGTTATATATAGGTATCATTCTTTTTCAATGACATTAGTTTTTTGGTTTTTGTTGTAGAGCCCACAAGACGCTGTGACTCCTTTTCAGATTTTAGGTAGTGAAGCTCAGATTGTTCAGGTACTTTCATTCAATGAATTAACTTTTTTATTTTGGTTGCAAGAGGGAATTCTATGTTGCACCTAATTGATGTTTTGCTCTCCTTTTTTCCTTTCTAGATAATGTTGAAGCCACAGGAGAAGGTGGTTGCGAAGCCTGGTAAGATATCATTGCAACTATATACTGGTTGACACTGATGATTAAAACTTTGCCTTGATTGACTTTTGTTGATTGCCTATTTCACTTAAAGTAAACCGAGATTTTTACCTGGAAAACTGCAAGCCTTCTACGCCTGTTCCCCCTTTCCTCTTATAGTAGGAGGGTGCTTGTCTATTTTTGGGCGTTCTCAAGTTTTGGCTTCCTAAAAGCAAGTTTTGACTATATATGTGCTTCAAATTTTTTTGGTATTTTTTCCTTTGCAAACATGAGAGATCAGCTAATTCTACCTTGTTTACACAATAACAAAGGGGAATAAAACATAGATAATCTCCAGCGAAAGCAACTTATACTCTCTGGCATCAATTCAAAATTCAAAATGAGACTGAATATTATTCAATCTCAAGTTGTTTGTCAATTTGCCCATCCAAAAGTTTCATTTGTTACTTAATGCCACAATAATTTCCACAATTCTAAATATGCCCTTTATTTTTATAACTGTGACTTATATGCTCCTTCCTACTGAATTTTTTGTAATAACTAGTTGACCAAGATGTACCAACTTCTTCAACATGTTCCAATCTTTAATAAGAATACCACCATCTGGCCCGAAATGGTTACCAAGTTTCATCTTAATTTGAGGGCTTCTTTCACATTTGCAATCCTAGTTATATTGAAGAACAAAATACCCTGAAATTTCTAAGGTAATAGCTTCTCCTGCTGCTACTACCTAGGCTAAAATATCTTCAAATAGCAAGTTCACTAGCCTTTAATGTCTTCTCCCCTTACCAAAACTCTGAGTATTTGTCCTTGATGAAAAATTTACATTTGAAAGGTCCTTAGTTTTCTACTCCTTAAGTTTACCTAGTATTTTCAAAAGTTCTTGAGGTGTCCGCAATAGGTGTGACTTGTGTGAGGAATTTATTAGGAGTCTAAAACCTAGCTCTTTAAAATCTGTTCGTCATGACTTACGTTGTGCTCATGAGGCTCATGCTTCGAGGCATAAGTATATAGATGGCACCTAGTCCTGGGCACACGCTCCTTAATCTTTCTCTTTCTGTTATGTTTTACCCCTCTCAATTTTTAGGGTTTTTTTTTTTTTTTCTAACCTAGAATTATTGATTTTAATTATTTTAAACCCAATCCAAAGAAAGCAACTGAAAATTAAAGAAGAAAAAAGGAAAGTTTTTTGTGTGCCATGGCCCTCTGGTTGTACAATTGAAGTGTGATCTGTTCCCAAGTGACACTAAAACTTTTAGGCAACAAATGACAGGTGATAGGAGATCTATCATATGTAACTTTCTTCTTGTTGATGCATCTGCATTTCTGTTTTGTTTCTTCTTTTTCTTTTTCTCCCTTCTAAAGTCAAGGCAAGTAAAAAACTAAATAGGTGTTCATTTGTTTCATTTGTTTTAGTCTTTAAATTTATTCGTGGATTGTACTACTATAATAACTTAATATTTGCTATTTCATTAATCCTTATTATGTTTCAATTTGTGAAATAGACTTAATCTTTGAAATGTTTTATCATGGATTTCTTAGATGTTATAGTTCATCGTAAGTATAATTTGTACAAATTTTTGAATTATTTATTGGTTTGTATTGAGGTTTACGCCTCCCTATTTAGCATAGTTAGACATTGTGTTTATCTAACCCACATATCACACTCTTTTCTTCAATCTCTAGGTATTCATAAATTTTGTCATAGGCTATTGATTTCACCTCTTTAGTAGCCGTTTGGCTTCCTTTCTTGCCCGTATATCCTTTTCAAGATCAGTTTCATTCCTAGTAATTCACCACCTCTTGTAGTGCTCATTCTGTCCTGACTATGCTTTAACATAATTATTATCTATCATTTCTCCATGATGGAATTTCGACCTTTTGTCAATTATTGACAGATTGTTCAGAATTTGGAAGAGTGTTTTCTTTTCTTTCTTTTTTATTGGGAGTGGAGGTGGGGGTACTCCTGGGAACAGTTATAGTTAAAACTCAATGGGCTTTGTACCTCAAAGGATTGTACCATGTATCTATTTTTTCTCGATCTCTTTTTTAATATTCTTTATGCAGTCAAACATCCCATTCCCACTTACATTTAGCAGAATGTCCAAATCCCAATTAGATGCTCAAAATTCCTCATCTTCAAATCAGGTATCCTGTTGTCCTTTCTGGGTCTCTCCATTAAACATTGCAGTCTATCATAGTCCTTTTCACTGTTGATTGGTTGCAAAGTACAACTTTAGAGGGGGCCAGGCCAAAGCACCGCCAAAGGCAACTTTGACTGACTTCAGGGGACATTTTATACACAACATGGAGTTATCTCCTCTCTAACAAATCCAGATTCCAATCCTCACAAGCAACAAAGTTAAAAGTTAATGGTAAAACGAACTATCAACATGAAGGAGACCCAACACTTTTCTATGGATAAGGCATTAAGAGCTTCATCTTCTTATTATGACAAGCACAAATAAGCTGAACATAAAGTTTCTATAGTTTGGCTCATTAATGAAGTTTGTCTAATTTCAAGTTTAGCTAAGTCTTGTGTTTCAACTATGATATGCCTACTTTTTTAATTTTTAATTTTTAGTTTTAATTTTTTTTTTTTTGAAAAGTAATCAACTATTATATGTCTAAATTGGGGTTATAATTCCAGTATTGACCTTAGATCATCTGACCTCATAATAGTTTTGATTGATCTTCTTTCAATCCTTTTTTTTGGCAACATCAATTGACAATTCTTTTTCGACGTTGTTCCGTGCATAAATATTTTATAGGTTCAATGTGCTACATGTCTGAATTTATCCAAATGGAAAATGTTTATGCACCCGAAAATGAAGCCGGAGTGTGGCAGTGGCTTTTTGGAAAGAGTGTGACAAGCATAGTTCTACACAACACAGGTTCAACTGATGGATTTGTGGGAATTGCTGCACCCACTCTAGCAAGAATTCTCCCGGTTTGCAGTTTTGTCCCCTACTATTGGTTTATTAAGCAATTCCATCGTAGTACATAATTCCAAAAGTTCCTGATTTTATGCTAGTCGCTTGCATTTTTTGTGCAGATTGATTTGGCAATATTTGGCGGTCAAATGTTATGCCAGGTATAGGTCATTGGTGAATAACATGCTCAACATTTGAGAATTTTTTCTTGTTTCTTCCCACTTCTCCCCTTTTCCTGTAAGCCATCATTTTCTGGATAGATTATGACTTTTCTAATATTATTTGTAGCCAGATGCGTTTCTTTGCTCAATTCATGATGTCAAAGTCAACAACAGCATTGATCAGAGGGCACGCAATGTTCTTAATAATGTTGAGGTGAGATTAGGAGATGCACCTTTTGTACGCTAAGCTCATTGGTTATATGTATTGTGGTATAAATGTAGTGGGCCATATTTGATTGTAAATTAATTATATTTGCAGGGATTCTTGAGGCAGAAAATATCTGGCCAAGGCCTTGCATTTTTAGTTGGTGGTGGATCTGGTATGTTTTGTTTACTAAATGTAACTCATAATAACATAGGACAATCCAGTTATAAATAAGATATAAACAGTAATAGTCCCAAAATTTTCTCTACTTCTTAACTACACATTCTTCAAAAAATACTATTAATATTTGCATTTTTAAAAATTTTAAGGATGTCAAACATGGTCATATTCTTAGATTAGGTGACGCATGAGATTAATTTGACAATGAACACGAAAAGGAATGAGAAAAAAGGGGGTCAAACAGGAGAAGAATTGAGGGCAAGAGGAAATTAAATTTTATTTATATATTCAATGGTATTTATTACAACGAATAAGCCATCAATATACAGAGCAGCAACTAATCTAAAATCAAGCGAATTTCTAATAAACTATAACTTTATCGAATTATTAAAATTATCTAATTTAATTAAATCAAATATACTTTGAATAAAAGTTCATTTTAAAACCATAATTCACTTGTAACTCTATCTATATCATTTCTTTTCGACTAAGAGAACTCGAGTCTGGCAAGGTAGACTAAAACTTTATACTCCAAGGAGGTCGATCATTTGTCTTACCAAGTGTCTGAACTGAACCTTTGACAACAACATATTGCTCAACCCATACCAAGGGTGGACAATCTATCTTATGAATTAAATATCGAAATTGATCATATGACAACAATTGAATCAGCAAATCATCCTCAAAAATATGATATAATCAAAGGAAATGATCTATCCTTTTAATCAAGTAGCAACATTTAACTACAAAAAGCAACACCTTATGTAACTCATCCTCAAAAACTTCAATTAATTGTGCAGAATGATGAGCACAAGGGACTAGTATTATAGGTTATTTTGCAGAAAAATATGATTGCAACATCAAATGCTCAAATGGCCCCAATAAGAAAACAATTATGCCATATTGAAAATATAACTTTCATTCAGATATAATAAACAATCAAATAGATTATCTTTATGCGAAGGATCCAAACTTTTCTTAATGTATTTAGGGAACCGAATGAAAGAGACCCACAATAAACAGGAACAAAAAATTTATGGTTCCACCACCCCACTCCCATCATCAAAACCCAAAATGAAGATAGTTAAGTGATTACAGTAAGATCTGAAATGAGAGAGTCAGTTATAAAATTGATGTTGGTATCAATAAACTTTCAAAGGCCTGTAGTTATTCAGAAACAAAATCCTGTCCTGCATGTAGTTTAGGTGCTCATGAGTTCAGTGACAGAAAAGAGAAATGCACTGCTTGGTAAAACTTGCATTTGACTCGTGACTCAATTACTAAGTAGAATAGTAGGCATAAAGATCATATTTTAATGAAGATGAAATTTTTCAAAATATAGTTTGATTTATGATGAACTTAACATTTTCATTTAAGGTCTTGATTTGGTCAAACAATAATTGTTGTTCTCTTGATCAAAAGGCTTATATATTAGTAAGGACTTTGTGAGGCCTTGATTTGGTCAAATAATAATTGGTGTTTCTTTGATTGAAAGGTGGATAAACTAATGAGATAATGGTACCCATCAATTATATATTCAAATAATGGGAAAAAATAAGTCAACTTTGCTAGGTCACTCTGATTCACATTGTGGTCATTTTCTAGCTTAATCATATAACACCTATAGTGATGATTTTTCTTTGCTATCTTTTGTTTTGTTAGTTGTACAGAAAAATCTCGAAGTCGGTGAATTACTTGCTGTTGATGTGTCCAACATTGTTGCATTATCAGCATCAGTCAATGTGCAAATCAAATATAATGGTCCCATGAGAAGGGTGGTATTTGGGGTGAGTTGTCCTTTCGTTATTTTCCCTCCAGAAATAATTGTTTTAGTTGATTTGATTTGCCTGTTGTGACTTGCAACCTACACATTTTGATTGCTTATTAGTTTATAACTATTTCACGGGCATCCTTCCATTTGTAAATTCTAGTTTTAGTTGTATGTCAAACTTTGTAAATGATGCATCAGGTCATGGTCAGCCCATGAAATATGCTTTGAAGGTGCTAATAATTCGGTCTGTTGTGTTGGGATTTGGGTTATATGATTAGGAGAGGTATCTGGACTTCCCTCAAGTTTGAATGAAAATTTTCAATTCTGGTCAGGGAAAAACAAAGAATTATAAGGCTGATTTTATTCGTTCATAGAGGCCTAAATGAGAAGTGCAATATAGTATGTTTTAAAGAATATCTTATGGATATTCGTTAAGTAAAGATTTATTTATCAAATAGGCAAGTCCTATGCTGTACCGATACGGATACAGGTATCGTGTTGAATACACCGACACCCGATTTTTAAAAAAACTATTGACATGACACGTTGATTAAATTCGTTAAAATTCTTAATTTATATGGTATAAATTAATTTTATACTAGTTAATTTTTTTAATTGAAATCTTTTAAATATGAATGCATATTTGTTATCTAATAACTTTGAATCAAAATATATAATATTTCTAATAAAAAAGGAAAAAATGATCATGACAGAGTGTTCAAAGAGTATCGGTATCTGACATGTGTTCGACACGGATATACTATCCTAATTGAAATGTCTTTGCAACAGAGGGCAAGCCCATTTGGGCTGTTCTTGGTTTCTTTTAATAGGTGAAGGGGTGTGGGATTGGGGGTAATATTGTTTGGGTTGACTTTAAATATACTCTGTTTTGGAAGTCTGGGTACACGTTTAAATGTGCATATTAAAAACACGATGCATCGTACACATTTTAATGTGTCTAATTAGAAGTGTAAAGGAAAAAACTTGATGCATCACACTCCTAGCTTGAAGTTGCATCATAAGATTCGAAAGGTGCAAACCTCCCCAAATATCTGTAGAACTGTTCAGGTAGCTTCCATTCTGTGGTTTTCGACAATTAATTGTACCCTAAAACAGAGATCTACCTCGCTTGATATACATTTGGCTTCCTAATGCTGTAAATACTTTTGAGAGAAGTGAAGCATATCTGTGATTTGGGTTCTCCGTCACCTCTCCTTTTGCGGGCTGTAGACTGCTGTGATATTGATTAGCATGAACCAAAGATGACAGCTTTAGCCTCTGTTTGGAAAATTTTATAAATCCATTTATGCTCGGTCAAACTTCATTTTGAACCACACATTCAAATGGGACCAACCAATAATTTCCACTTATCCACCACTCATTTCCTTCATTTATAAATTCTTCCCATATGGAGGCTTGGAGTTGTATTTCAAGAAGAATTTGAGTCGTATCCACATCACAATAATAATCACATTAAGTTAAACGATAGTGAGCTTGGTTGAAAAATAGTGCTAATATGTTGGATTTGTCTTTTAGGATAACGAGCTTCAGCTTCATACATGATTGTGTGACACCTTCTTACTGTAGCTGCTGGAATTTATTGCACTTATTTTGCCTTTTCCTCGAATTGAATATGCTTTCTGGAATCCTTTCCAATGCCCAATTTTATTTTTCCTACAGTATTTGCGCATTTTTGGTTAGGAGAGGGAGAGCTGTGACCAAAAGCCTAGAATCCATTCAGTGCCCAAATTTATTTATCCTATGTAGTATTGCATATTTTTGGTTGGTAGAGGGAGAATTAGGTCAAAACTAATGCGACCTACGGTGGTTGTTTATTCAATTAGAGAAAAATGCTGTAGCCAGCCCCAAGGTTATTGACAATAAATTTCTCCTTTGTTGTTTTTGTTAACACAAATTTAGCAGCTTCGTTGTTTGCCAAGCGGTGCATGCCTCTGTGTCTCTGGTAGATCTTAGTTATTGGGCTCTCAGGAGCTAAAAGAACTGCCAAGCATTTGGAACTTCAATCTAGCAGTGTGACTATGGAGACTCCCTATCAAAAGCCATGATATTTTACTTGTCCATATTCCGTGGTCTTCTTGCATTTCTTTTACTCGTATATATGTTCAACTTGCCTGTTATTTATATCGATTTTGTCCACATAATTTGTTGTTTAGTTTTAATCTTGCAAAAAAGTTGTATATGCCGTCTTTGGCTTCTTTCCATCATCTTCCCGTAAAACTATAATACAACAAAATTAATGCTCAACACGAACTATTTATTTTTCAATTTTTTATCTGATGTCGTCTTCACTCATTTGCTATCCGTCGGACTCAAAATAATTTAACATCCGTTGATATTGCAAGTTTCTCAAACCATTTCTAATGTCATATGATACTCTCTTTAAGTTTTGTAATAGTACTTTAACTATTTTTCTGACCTGCAGGGAGACAATCTAGTGACTGCTGTCCTAACTGGACCTGGTATTGTCTTCATCCAAAGTATGGCCTTCCATCGCCTTTCTCAGCGTGTTGCAAGGTAACCTCCCGTACCCATACTGGAGCATGTTTGGCTATGCTTAAAAAGTTCGCTCATAAGTTTTAAAATTTTCTATTGCTCAAAGTTGAACCAGATAAAGTAGTTTAATGAATAAACACTCTTCTCTATATTGAAGTAGAAAAAGTTAAGCTCTCCGAACATGTTTTGAGAAGAACTTACTTGCAGCTTTTACAATTTTTAAGCTTAGCTAATCATGCTCTTGTTCTTGGAATCAGCTGTATTTTATTGTTCTGTTCGTATATTAATACCTTGTAAGTTCGCTAAAATGGCTAATTTCTATATTACAGGGCTGTTACGTCTCCAAATATGAGAGAGAATCCGAAATTCTTCCTTCAGATAGCAATCTTCTTATTCATAGCTTATGTTATCGTCTTGTCATCACTAATCTTGACCGATCTATGATATTATTTTCACTGTTTTTTTTCCCTGTTTAAAGAATGGATATAATTATTTTCCCTTTTTCGCAATTTTCTTTATTTCAATAAAGACTTATACTTGGAATTATAGATATTACAGTAAAATCATTCTAAATTAATATCCCACCATTGAGTATTAATTTAGGGGGTTTATTAATTTGAAGTGTTTTTACATTGTAAATATTATTTTGTATTTAAAAATGCGGCTGCTTAATGTTTCACATACTTTAAACTCTTTCAAGGCTCTATAACATTTGGAGCACGTACAGAAAATGTTTATAAATGGTGTAATTTATAAATAAATAGAAATGGATGGTAGATAAATAGGTAATACTCGTGAATTTAGGGTGCGTGTGGTAGCTGTTAAGATTAGGAGGGATGGAATTAAAGGAAATAGGATTAGCAGATTATTCTATTAGAGTGTGTTTAATTGACATGAAAAATATCACCTAGAAAAGAAAATGTTTTTCATTTTTTGTGGAAAATAAAAACTACCCCTACCCAAGGAAAATGTTTTCCTTAAAAACAAGAAAAATTAGGTATATTTTCAAAAGTTGGAAAATGTTTTCCATGGAAAAAAATAGCAATCAAACACTTCAACGAGGAATTTGGGTGGAAAATTGATATTTTCCATGGAAAGTAAATGTAATTAAACACACCCTAAGTGTTTCATGCTATACTGTAATAGAAAACGTGCAAGTGATGAAAGGAAATTTTAATTGATATTTATTTGTGGGGTACTTAAGATGTGTAAATGAAAAGTGATTTGAGTTTATAAATGGGGGAAAAATTTACAGGTCATGTGTTAAGTATGGACAATTCAATTTTCAAATTTTAAGTTTCAAAATTAAAAAATCAGGTATTTATTAATTTTTAATTAAATATATTATGACCATAATTATGCAATTCATGGTTATAGATTCATACTTATAGGCCACAACGTCACATATTAGTAAATTAATTTGTCACAAATTATTTCATCGACCACAAATCAAAACATTATATATCATAATTCACTTGTCGATCGCAAATTTTCAAATTAATTACTTACAAATTATTTTTCAATCACATATTAGCAAATTTTTAAGTCACAATTAAATACTTGATCATAGATTACCAAATAATTGGTAACATACACCAAATAGTGGATAACATACCATCGTCACTGCAATTAAAACCACTTGTGACCACCTTCACCGCGTCACTACCATAATAGCACCAATACCACAACACCACTACCAACAAAAGACACCATCACTAGATCCAATTCACTACCAACCAGAGACGGATATAGGGGGGGATGGTTGGGCTGTAGCCCCCTCCCAGGTCCAAGAGTTTTTTTTAAGGTATTTTTTATTTTTTTTGGGTAAAAAATCAGTTTTTTATGTGTAAAATTTTTTTTTTCCACGTAGTAGCTCGGTTTGAAATTTTGTAATCCGATCGTGAATCCAATCCTGGATCCGTCCCTGCTACCAACAAAAATCACCACCACCACCAGTATTAGATCTCCAGCGACGAACCGCCTCTACCCACATATAAACTATATAATAGGTCACAAATGCAGATCCATTCTAACAAAAACGCACCATCGCCGCAACCATTTTGTAACCCGCCAACTGTTAGATTAATTTAATACTTTAAATTATTGGATCTTTCATGTTAAATCATCGAGAAATATAAGAATTAAAACGGAAGCATACCTGAATCTGACATGGTTAATGCAATATGAATTTCGTGGTATGATCTTCCAAATCTACACGCAGTCTCCTTTTCCTCTCCTTTATATGGGAATGCAGTTTGTCCTAATTTTCGGCCCATCATAGAATTAGGACTTGGGCCCGGTCTCTACGCATATGTAAACCCATACTTTAATTGGATACATTAAAGCCCAAAATCGAAACCTTATTAGATCACTTTAATCGGGCTCGACCGAATTCGATAGCCTATAATTTAACACACAATTATTTGCACATACAAGCCCATCTTTAATTAAAAATTCTTACAATCTCCCACTTGGGTTATATGTGTCACCTTATAATTGTGCATTAAACATAACCTTATGAGTACTCAGAATTTTGCTATCATTACCGAATGTATCCCCAAACAATCCTGTCCATCAATCATATCAACATAGGATCAAAGCGGCTTTTGCTACTTTCACGTAGCTAAACCCATCAATGGTCACGTATATCAATATAACCGAATGACATGGACCAAGCATGGATGTGTAGCATGGAAATTACATGTAATGTGATCTGTAACATGCCTATTTCCAACTGGTCCACCTTAATACCTTAGTGAGATCATTTTAAACAAGTTCAGAGATAATTAACCAAATAACTTTATAACTGAAAGTAACTTTAACTTTAAACCGTAACCAAAATAACAGTACATGTGTCCAATATGAAAAGCAAAAATGCAAACTCCCACTGAAACTAGATATCCTCAAGAGACATTATACCCATATGAGCAGTGTGCTCATGAAAGACCTTGGGTATCAATCCCTTAGTAAGCGGATCCGCAACCATGGAGTTTGTCCCAATATGCTCTATTGACACCTGTCCACTCTGAACTCTTTCTTTAACAGCAAGGAACTTGATCTCTATGTGTTTTGACTTTGTCGAGCTCCTGTTGTTATTAGAATACAACACTGCTAATTTATTGTCACAAAATATCTTAAGTGGTCTTTCTATAGTGTCCACAATGCGCAGCCCAGTGACAAAATTACGCAGCCATATTCCATGATTTGATGCCTCATAACACGCTATAAACTCCGCTGCCGTGGTGAAAGTAGCTATGAGTGTCTGCTTAGCACTCTTCCAAGAAATAGCACCTCCAGCAAGCAGGTAAATATAGCCTGAAGTGGATCTCCTACTATCTTGGCATCCCGCGAAATCGGAATCAGAATAACCGATGATCTCCAACTGATCCGATCTCCTGTATGTAAGCATGTAGTCTTTTGTTCTCTGTAAATACCGCATGACCCGTTTGGCTGCTTTCCAATGATCCATTCCCGGGTTACTTAAATATCTCCCTAGCATCCCAACAATGTACGCTATATCCGGAGGCGTACAAACCTGAGTATACATCAGACTCCCTATAGCTGAGGAATAAGGAATCTTCTGCATTTCTTTAATTTCTAAGTCATTTTTAGGGCACTGACTTAAGCTGAACTTGTCACCTTTAGCCACAGGAGTATCACATGGTTTACAATCTTGCATGTCATATCTTTTCAGTACCCTTTCGATATAGCTCTTTTGTGATAATTCAAGAATACCTCGAGAACGATCTCGGTGTATCTGAATTCCTAATACAAAAGAGGCATCACCAAGATCTTTCATCTCAAAATTCTTTGCTAGAAATCTCTTGGTTTCGTGCAATAAGCCTATATTGTTGCTGGCAAGCAATATGTCATCGACATATAAAACCAGAAAAATATACTTGCTCCCACTGAACTTGTGGTATATACAATCATCAACCAAATTCATCTCAAAACCAAATGAGATGATCACCTGATGAAACTTGTAATACCATTGACGAGATGCCTGTTTGAGTCCATAGATGGATTTCTTTAATTTACAAACCATTTGCTTTGCATCGTCCGATACAAAGTTTTCTGGTTGTACCATATAAATTGTTTCATCAATGTCACCATTGAGAAACGCTGTCTTAACATCCATCTGATGTAGCTCAAGATCGAAATGCGCTACCAATGCCATTA